CCCGATCCAAAATACTCGGGGTGGAATTTTGACCAATTAAGTAATTCCGTAGCAAACAGCAAAATCGGCTGTTCACAGCAGTCTCTATATAATATGTAAGTCACCCCTAGCAAAAGTATATAATAATAATGTATCAAATACTAAAGACTTTTGCAGCAATACAGCAATTACCGTTTGCTGGTATATAATTTCTCCACAGCGAATACAACTGTTCAAAGATCTTCCTTGCTGAAATACTTCAGCATACCTTAGCAGCTTGATCTTGAGAAACTGCTCATTATATTTACAAAACTTTTCATTTTTGTGCAATTTATAGCTTTATATTTAGGCAGAATTACGGAAGTTTATTAGCTGGCCGACGACGCAATCATCCAAAAATCTGTAAATATAACAGCTCAGCGTTTATACTTTCATCACTATATGCCCTACAGCAGTAGCAGTATATAGACATACCAGTGTTTGACATTTTGTCAGGAACAAGTCAGACCACCAATTTTTGATTGGATGATCGACGTGAGAGTGGTGATATACAATTTGCTGGCCTTTCTGACACAACTGCTGCCCGATACACTATGATTTAAAATACTTTTAGCTTCTAACAATAAGTAAAGGCATTATTTAATGCTTAAACAGGTCGCAACATTCTTACTTCGATGCATTTTTGTACACACATGTGGGCGCACCCTATAATAGACCTATAAAACAAGATATCCATCGTGACACTTTGTCGTATATGGTAACCCTAATATTCAAACATAGAACTCCATAGAATACCTCCAGTATTGTATATAACTACTTTTTATTAGCCAAATAACTAGCACGATAGCTTTTCATGATACAACCGGATACGTGCGCAATGTTAAAAACTACTTTGTCCTTGCATATAGGCATTAAAGGCATAAAGAAATCATACCCTTCAGAATTACGCGGACATGTGAGTATGTTGTTAGACGAGTTGGTTGTATTTCACGTTTGCGTAATGGAATTGTTTTGGTTCCCGTTTGTCAATATTATTTAGTCTGTCGTTTATTCGATTTTCATCTTACTGATCCATCATATTCTATTATATTGCCAAGTTGTCCGCAGATGACTATTACAATCGTATCCGAAGATTCAACGCTCTCCACATCGCACAACGCAATAAAATCTACGCTTGTGTATGTTTAATATTCATGTTGCCCTTCATAATGGGCGGGATAGTGGCAGCAGTCATTCTAACCGATACAAAACCGTGGACGAGTAGAACGTATGGGTTGGTGTTCTTGGTTCCGATGATGACTATATTCAGTATTTCCGTGCTGTGTATCAAACTGCCCAAATTGAAGACAAAGGTAATCATATAGTGAACGATACGGATAGTGTATGAACTTTTGATTGTTTATTGTCAACTGTTGATAGAAGGGATCGCGAACCCGTGTCTTTGTTTTTTTAACTGACTTTGATATTTTTACAAGTTGGAGGCTGAATCGGCCGTATTGATCGCTACATTCAATACCGAAGACAGTGATCGTAATATCGTTTGGAAAAAAGTAGAGATTACCGGTGAAAGACATGTAAGCTATTGGTGCTTGTCGTGGTGGATGACCATGAATAAACCACTAATCATAACTACTAACTTTTAATTATTTGTTCTCTCACAGAATAAAGACTATCTAATAATCGAAATCTCGCGGCGCAATACGACACCCGAAATAATGGTTTCTTGCCCACCTTCTTACGATGATACTGCCAGATAACTTATCCTTGGAAACTAGTATAGTAATATAGACTTTATTTCTGTTTCAGCAGGAGATATCAATTATTTGTGTTTTCTATATTGTAATTGTATTAAGAAATGGAACTTTAATGTTAATATACACAAGAATTGCACTACTGTATAGACGTACAAGTATATTGCTAATCGGAGATGTTACTAGCCAATAGAATTCCAACGATGCAATTCGTATTAAAATTTCGCTATTTGTTATGAAGGAAAAATTGAGAATGTTGCCTTGTGAATTACTTTAATCCTCCTTCCTGGGTTGCTTTCCCTTGTCTACACAATAATGTCGGCTGCTCCTGCTTTTGCCCTGCGTCCCAACTTTGTATATGACAAAGTGATTAATTGGTTTCCAGGTCATATGGCAAAGGGACTCCGAGTTATGCGCGAAAAAATGGCATCTGTTGATTTAATTGTCGAGGCTCGAGATGCGAGAATATCCTATGATAATATGAATTATTGCATTTTAGAACCTGTTGAGCCGTTATGAACTGTACCAGATTTCAAGTTCACGTATGTCTTTCCTTGACCCCCTTTTTTTCCCTTTACACATCCCTCTTTCGTCAATAAACCACAAATTCGAACAATTTACCTGGATGAAAGATAGAATTATTGTCTATAATAAGGCGGATATGGCCGATGAAACGAAGGAACAAATGATCATTGATGCTTTCAAGGATTTTCGTAACCAGACGGTACTATTCACCAATGCTATTGCGGACAAGAATGTGAGGAAGATTATCGATTTTGCTGCTGGTATGCAGATTGGGAGAGGGGGGCTCTTGGACTGTGTGTATACATGATTGATCAATCTGGTTTGCTTTAAGATAAGACAAAACAAGATTCCATGAAATATCCCTTTGTGACTGTACTAGTTGTTGGGATGCCAAATGTTGGTAAATCATCTTTGATTAATTCGATGAGAAGACTTGGGGTCCACAAAGGTAATTAGGTATACGAATACGATCAACGAATGCACAGTGATTGTCGCTGGGCCGATTAACGTTTCGTATCTGCTTATAGGCAAGGCAGCAAAGACTGGCGCTATGCCTGGTGTTACGAGATCAGTTGAAGGGACCATAAAAGTACTTGAAGACCCAACAGTGTATCTTATTGATACTCCTGGTACGTTCGTATGGAAGTAATCTGTTTTGTTGTTTAATTGACGGATAGATGTACTCACGGTTGTTGATCGATTAGGTGTAATGGTTCCATATATTGCTGATCCGATATCTTCGCTGAAAGTTGCATTAACAGGTGACAACGTGATTTCTCTTATATGTAATAAATGTTACTCCATGAGATTCACAATTGTTCTTTCACAATGCAGGCGGCGTGAGGTATGATGTAGCAGACAAAGAAGTAATGGCAGACTATCTTCTCTGGCGTCTAAATCACTTTAATAACTTCAGGTTCTTTTCCTTTACTGTCTTATTTTAAAGCTTTTGTTTTCGGTTTGATTACGATACGATTATATTGTCACTTATTTTCGTTTCACTTTCTATTCAGTTATGTAGACCTTTTCCGCTTGCCAGAACCAACGGATGACATAACCGTTCTTCTTCCAGCAATAGCCCGTCGCATTGGTGCACTGCAAAAAGGAAGAGAATACGATCTCGACCAGGCCGCTACCTTTTTTCTAAAATATTACCGAACCGGAAGATTTGGTCGATACACTTTAGACGATGTGACTCCAGAAATATTACAAGAGTATTTGTTAACACCACGAACGGATGCATTGAGTAAGAATCAGGAAAAGAAGAATGAGAAGGAGAGAAAGAAAGAGAAACGGTTGGAGAAATGGAGGAGGATGGGGATCGATGTTAAGAAATGATTTGGATATCGGCAACTCTAAGACAAAGGAAGAGCAGATGCCGTAGTTGGCTGTTTACTAAAGATGCGAACTAGAGATTAAGATGACTAATAGCCATGGGAAAAGGTGGTCATTTTAGCATTGAACTTTGATGTCTCCAGCATGTACAAACTATTGATTATGTAGCAGAACACGGACATATGCGACTGTAAAGACAACGCGTCGACCAATAGTAATAGTTGTCAAGTGACAAATTAGCATTTATTTCATCATTGTTGTATTAGAATCGGGTCCGCCGACATTTATTTCCCGGAAATATTTCGACACCAATCTTCAAAACGCCTACCGGATTCAGATCAAAATGCTTAAAGAGATAGATAACTTCGGAATAAAATTGTTAAGGAATTAATTGTATGTCAACGCCATCCCATGGAATCAAAATTGAGGATATGCGCGATAGTACATCTTCGTTTAATTGAACTCGCTTTGTATCGGAGCACGGAATAATCATACCAGGAATTTGTGTCTTTGGATTGTTCACGTCTTTACTTGCAAATCTGTTAGCAACGAAATCAGAACGATAAAATTTCCAAAGAATAGTCAGCATGTTATATCATTATTACCAATACGACGAAGTTGCTCTACAGAAAATACTAACTATCAAAGTTATGTAAGCTGTCAACTTGACAGACTTTGTTTGCAATCTGTCTGTTAAACTACAAATCAAAAGAAGCTTTAACCGCGCTTGCTCAAATTTCGAAAATTATTATTATTATGTTTTGCTCATTTCACAATCCGGGACAACAGAATTCTTTCCGGGGATTCGACCCTCTCTCTCACAACATTAGGTTAAGATGCCGTTCGTTTTATATGGGGAAGAATTTCCATTCACTGCAATTAAATAATGACTGTACCACAACCAAATGCGATCGGGCCATCTGGTGTAGTGGGTTCCCCGGAGACGACCGAATTCTTTCCGGGGGTTCGACTCTGTCGACCACAACGCTGGGCTTAAGATACCCGTTCGTTTTGAAATTTTTAAATTTTCACTTAACGTTAACTAATATGATGAATAAATAGATAAATGATGCAATCGTAATTGCGAACGGGCCACCTGGTGTAGTGGGCTCCCCGGGGACGACCCAATTCCTGGTTTCGGGGGTTCGACTTCTGTCGACCACTTATACTAGATTAAGATACCCGTTCGTTTTATTCTCTACGTCTTTTTACTTGTAACTGCAACTTAATACTGTATAAACGTCTCGGAGCAGACCAATCTTGTACTGACATCAAGTAAGCACATTTTATTTCGGTATTATCACATTCGCTTATTGGTGTGATAGTACTGTATTCGATAATGTACTATTGCGGAAGTTGCTGACAGGTTAATTTATTCAAAGGAGTGCATCATATCCTATTACTATGTTAAACATGCGATTACAATCGACCCTCTCTGTAAAAAGTCGTCATTTTCTTATACCCCTATGTGAGGTTCATAATGAAATCAATATACCCACCAAACTAGATAAGTCGGTAATTTGTGCTCTCACCAACGATCATTGACCAGTAAGTTATCGTCTTGGACCTCAATGTTGAATCTCAATGTCATTATCTACTGTTTATCGTTAATGATAATCAGTAATTATTGTTTGCATACTGACACATAGATTTACGATTACTTTCTACTTATCTGTAAATTTACTATATTAGCAGGCATTACTAATGCTCTCCAAAACAGCAATCAATCAATAGATTCTTTTTAAATTACCGTTCGGCGCGTTATATTATGCATGTCTATGAAACCGCATGGTACGTTAGACATAGAAAATTGATTTTATTCTTCACATGGTGTGGTGTGCGTACGGTACGTTGGTGCTTATTCAAAAAAAAAGGCTTGATTGAAGTTATATCAAGATAACAGTGGAGTCTAAGTTCTCAATTTCAGGGCTATGTAAATTCTGACAACAGGATCGGGGTCAAACATTGTCGTCTACTGCTACTATTTCCTAATAATTTGCACCGAATTATTAACGAACAACATTACAGTTAAATCACATGACGTTATTATATAAATCAAATTTCATGCCATGCAAACTGTATCTTACTCTGCGAAATGAATACCTCGGGCAGGAATATCATAATCCGACGACCCTCTTTCAATGTTTTCCACCGACATAATAGAATAATTTCCTTGGCATTGCTTAGACAATTCTCTACGTCGTTAAGGCGGTCGGATGCAACGACAGCAGACATGAAAGACTCGACTAATGATTCAATTGAATCCAAAACATTCTCTAAAAAAAGACCTCTCACCTATCAAGAACGAAAGCTAATAGAAAGCATGATACGTGTTGATCACGCAGGCGAGCTAGGGGCCAACTATATTTATAAAGGTCAAATGGCGATTCTTGGGAAAGATAAAAAAGTTGGACATGTTATTCAGGTGCGACAACGAATTCTTGTTAAATCATTTGCATAATGTGTGAATATTCAACTCTTAACCGCTTCATCGTGTGAAGGAAATGTGGGATCAGGAGAAGGTGCATTTGCGTACCTTTGATGAAATAATTCCCCGATATAGAGTTAGACCTACGCTTCTGAGACCGTTGTGGGAAACAGCTGGGTTTGTACTCGGGGCGGGTACAGCATTGATGGGAAAAGAGGCAGCTATGGCATGCACTGAAGCTGTAGAGACAGTAATCGGGGAGCATTATAACGAGTAAGCTATGGGAGGTTGAGGATTATGATGCTTTATCGATACCATATTTATCCTTCTGTTATCGTTGCTGTTATTAGTCAATTACGGGAATTGATAAAGATTGATAATGAAGAAACGACCGAATTGAGAGAAGTAAGTGATAGTTATTGTTTTATGAGGATGAACGGGACTGAATACTTATACTTGATTTACTTAGGTCATTAAGAAGTTCAGAGACGATGAATTGCATCATTTGGAGACGTCTGTTGATTATGATGCTCAGAAAGTAATAATAGGGTTATCAGACATTTTAGTGCTTTTTGCATCTTCAAGCAAATTTATATACTCAAATATCGCACGATTTTTATTAACATAGGCTCCCCTCTATGGTCCTCTCTCTGCAATAATACATGCCGGATGCAAGGCAGCCATTTGGGTAACAACGAGGCTATAAAGAAACGATTTTATCAGTATACACGCATTTGTTTCATCTAGTCATACATACACACCAATTGACGGGTTGTTTCGTTTGTGAAAATAGTGTATGTTCTATTATACGCAACTCTAATTGGGCAGATAATTCAGATTCTACAAACTAAAATACAAATAATAATAAAGTGTGATAGAATTCATAGCGTGGGTTTTCTGCTCAAATGAAAAAATGCAACCGTGAAACGTTACCCCCAAATCTTGATTAAATCAAGTTGTGATTGCACGTGCTCAAGTAGGCGCAAGCATAAAGTTCCCCAAGTATCGAAATGAATACGGAGCACATTAAATAGAAACATGACTGATGCCTCTCCATTTAGTACACAAATAATACGTGGACTTAGCGATAAATTTTATGAGAAGAGGAAGGCTGTTGCGCTTGATGTGGAAAAGTAAGAAACGAATGACAATGAATGATCAAATATAAATAACCCACGTGGCTAATGCAACTAGTCGAACATTAGATTGATTAGAGAAGCTGCCAAAGAGGGAGACGTAGCCAAAATAAAAGCTATCATTAATACGTTGATCAATGAGTTTGCATACTCGCGAAATTCTAACGCACGGAACGGAGGATTAATTGGATTAGCAGCCGCATCAATTGCACTCGGACAGGTGAGTTTCCAACATCACTCGGTAGTTTATTTCTGTCTCTTCTGCTGAGTTATACGTTGTAATGACTTACAGGATGTTGCACCTTACCTGGATGATATCGTTATGCCTGTTCTGCATTGCTTTATCGATCAAGACAACCGTGTGAGATATTATGCATGCGAAAGTATGTATAATATTGCCAAAGTAGCCAAAGGAGAAATCCTGAGATATTTTAACGAAGTGTTTGATGCCATGGGCAAGGTAAGTATTACTACAATGCATTTGTGAACTTTTACGATTTAACGACCATGATTGTGATTCTTACCCGACGTTCAATTTCGTAAAACCACACCCTCCCCCCAACGCAGCTCGCGGCCGATTCAGAACTCTCGGTAAAGAACGGTGCCGAACTCCTTGATCGTCTAATTAAAGACATTGTAGCCGAACAAGCTACAACATACGTATCCAGTGTCGATGTTCCTCCGATGGTCAAGAAGGAGGACTCGACAATGCCTGCAGCTATGCCTCGCACAAAGGCGTTTTCCCTTCCTAAATTCATTCCTCTACTCGCTGAACGTATTCACGCCAAGAATCCCTTTACAAGAAGCTTTCTAGTCTCTTGGATCGCTGTCTTGGATTCAATTCCAGACCTCGAACTCGTATCCTATCTGCCGGACTTTCTCGAGGGCTTAATTAACCTTCTCAGTGATTCTGACAGGAATCTACGTCATGCGACTTCGACGGTACTCGCAAACTTTTTATTGGAAATACGTGAAGCCGTTGAGGTGAAAGAGCAACAAAAACGTGAGGCTATGAAGAAGTATTACGTCGAACACCAAAGAAAAGCGGCCAACGCAGACACTGGCGATACCGAAGATGGTGTATTAGTCTGGGCAGGTGCCGATAAGGCGATTAATTGGGACGTGGTATCAGTTGCTGAAACCGAAGACAGAGGAAAAGGATCGGGAGTTTGGATACCCGGGCAAGGGGTTGTGATACATTTTTCACGGATTATCGAGATATTGATGCCGCATCTTTGTTCGCAAGGTAGATTAACTTGCTTGACAGGTAGTATTGGTGATAATGGTTGGTCTGACATAACTTTTTTTTTGTCACAATATAGAGGAAGGGATACAAGAAACGGCTCTGAAATGGATAAACGAGTTTATCCAGCTTGCAAAAGAGGTTATAGTTCCGTTTACTCCACAACTGATTAGAGCGGTGCTGCCATCATTGGCCCACTCTGCTGCAAATATCAGGTCCAGCGCCGAAAACGTCAATTCCAATCTTTTCAAATTAATCGTTGAAATGCCAGCAGCTGCATACAACACACCGATAACTCAGAATGTATTAACCAAAGAGTCACATTCTTCTGGAAAATTTGCGTCAGCTGTGTCATTGGCATCGTCATTTATGAGATCAACTTCACCTTCAGCAGAGGTGTCTCCAATGTTATCGCCGATTTTGGAGAAAAGTCCACAAGCGCTTTTACCGGTGGATCTTGGCAAGAGCCTTAGTGATCCATTTGATTATCAGGCCACAGTAGATGCGTTGGTACATCAATTTTTGGATGAACATGAGGAAACGAGAGTCGCTAGTTTGGATTGGTTGTTAATGCTTCATAAAAAGGCGCCTCATAAGGTATATAAAAATAAATATATTGTTTATCTGAGCTTTTTACGCAAATCCCTACTTATGAGCAAAAAAATTTTCTGATAGATTCTGGCGATCGATGATGGTACGTTCCCAGCATTACTCAAGACCTTGTCCGACCCATCGGAAGAGGTAACTATTATTGGCAATATTGGGAGGGTGGTTATTTGATTATATCGCTGACATTTTCTGGTACTAATTCGTTGACTGAACATGTGTAGGTCGTGAAACGGGATCTTCGGCTATTAGCTCAAATTTCTTCAAATTCGGAAGATGCATACTTTACACGATTCATGATTGATCTATTACAACTATTCAGCACCGACAAGCGGCTTCTCGAATCAAGAGGCAGTCTGATTATTCGGCAGCTATGTCTCAGTCTGAATTCGGAGCGCATTTACAGGTGTTTTGCGGAAATTTTAGAAAAAGAAGAGGTGCGGTTGAATTTTTTTTATTTTATGAAAGATTGAGTTACAACGGTCCTTATATATAATTTTGTTTTAGGATTTGGATTTTGCATCCACGATGGTGCAGAACTTGAATATCATCTTGATCACTGCTCCGGAGCTTTCTGAACTCCGTAAACGACTAAAGAATTTCGATGCTAGGGATGGACAAGGACTATTTACTGCTTTGTATAAATCATGGTGTCACAACCCAGTTGCGGTGTTCTCATTATGTCTACTTGCCCAGGCTTACGAGCATGCTTCAAACCTATTGCAGAGTTTGTAAGTATTCTGTTCTATTACATATACAAACACATAGAATAATGATACTCACAAGAATGACTATATTATAGCGGGGAATTGGATATCTCTGTTAATTTGCTTATACAGATAGACAAGCTTGTACAATTACTTGAATCGCCTGTATTTACGTGTAAGTAGCTTTTTACGTCCGGGATTATCTCAAACTCATTATTTACCTTTACATTGGAAAAATATCGTATAGACCTACGGTTACAGCTGCTTGAACCTGAAAAATACCCGCATCTGTTCAAGTGTCTTTATGGCGTCTTAATGTTATTGCCGCAAAGTAGCGCCTTTGCTACATTGAGAAGTCGTCTCAATAGTGTAAGCTCCATGGGATTTTTACACTTGGTGCCTAAAAGGTATGAGCAGGATCTAATGTACGATGACTTGTTGATTATAAGTCATAATGAACTTACCAAATCAAACCATGTAATGAATGCATCACGTCTAGCTCATCTTCCGAGAGCAAAAAACACAAAGAATCTAAAGCATCTAAAGAAGATGGGATTAAATTTCAAGACCTCTTATCTCATTTCCGAACTGTTCAATCAAAACACGAGAAAATATATAAACAAGGTGCTAATACACTTCGCTCATCGCATATTTGTCGCCCACATACATTTACATCTATACTCACATTTGCGTATACTTTAGTCCAAATAATAAACAGATCATCAGGCTCGGCCCGCCGCCGCGGTCGCGACAGAGAGCGAACGGCATCATTGAACAATAACATTTCAAATAAATCATCAGGCGTATTACAATTGTCCGGCAATTCGACGACAGGTGTGCCTGCGATAACGTCAACTACAACAGAGACACGACGTCGGACGAGTGATGCTTCGACAAAGAGTTCTAGACCACAAAGTCCAAAACGCATCAATCATAAGAAGTAGAAATTATGTGGAGGGGGATTTCGAGATTGTAGAATGTTTATGTATGTATTATCTATCTGTTTGCTTGTACATTCTTTATATTATATTAAGCGAATGTGGACATGTTGTGTGGGTAAATTATATGAAGATTGTTGGTATTTTATATCGTTGTAATGACACAAGACAAACGTTGGCTGTGCTTATTGTAACCAAATCTTGTGTGAATGTGAATATCATTATTAAGCCATAACGGCATTATTGATAAGATGGCCGCCGGAATAACTTTATTATATTGTTTCTGTTCGTTCAGTTTTTCCCAATTAATGGTTCTTCATATCCACGTCCTCCTACTTGTATTAACTCTGGGATGTTTGATATAATAATGCTGTCATTATGGTTTATGAACTATTCAATAAGTCACAAAACGAACGGTTGACATAAATTGCCAAAATAAAAAGTGAAACGGGTATCTTAACCTAGCGTTAGTGGTCGACAGAGTCGAACCCCCGGACAGAATTCGGTCGTCCCCGGGGAGCCCACTACACCAGTTGGCCCGATCACAGTGTGTTGTAATACGCTACATTATTTATTCATGTAACATATAATTTGATTTTAGACAAATTGGCATTCAGAGGGTCATGTTCTCAATTTTAAAAAATTTGCCAAAAGCGAGCGGGTGTCTTAGTTCAGTAGTGTGATCGACAGAGTCGACCCCGGAAAGAATTCTGTCGTCCCCGGGTTTGCCTTTACTAGTCTCTTGTGATACGCTTCATTAAACAATCCGTTCTCGCCAGCACAGTTTCATTGGCAAGTCATGAATGGAAGAAAGTGTCGGTTGGCCTGCTTCGAAATGTTCGTACTAAGATAGACCAGTGAGAAGGAAGAAATAATTAGAGATAAGAATTGTGTTGACCAAGGCTCATTTTAGTGTGAAAAATAGATTACTAACCATAATCATTCCCATATTTTCGGCTCTTACTAACATTAAATTGAGTGAAATAAAAAAATGTGAATGGGTTTTGTTGAACATTTGTGACTGGCGGCGCGAGAAAGTATGAGTGAATATAGAAAATCAACCAACTTTGCTTGTTTCAAACGTCAACGTGTATAAAAGAAAAACTGAATAGTTTAGTAAATTTTAAATAAGGATTACACATTCTCTGAAAAAGTAAAATAACGAGAAACGAAATGGCAAGCCGACAAAACAACTAAAACCTGAGTAGTGGAGCAATGTAATGAGCAATAATTAATTTTCTTTTACCATTATACTGCATATACCCGATGAGATATAATGGCATTTATTTTCCGAGTCTAAAAGTTGATATAAATAGAGCGGAAACACTTTAAAGATACTGCCATGCTATTATGCGAATAGCAGGCTTGCTTTAAATTACGTTTAGTTTTCAACGTTTTTATTTAGTGAATATCGCTCAACAAGGGACACCATACACTGTTCTAAAATTATCGAGCACATCTGAGAGTAATGAGTTGGTTCTAAACCATTTGGTACCAGATTTCATTGTTATTTAGGTCTCAATGGTCAACGTATGGTGCTCTTCTTGATTTCAGAATCAGGAAGCCAATTGACGTTGTTTAGCGCGTGATTTCAGTCACTGGCGTTGATGTAGAGTATACTTGTAATAGTTAGATAACGCTGATTATACTTTCAAACAGAAACCAATAATCTACAGATTTTAAGCTTGACTTCTTCTGAACCTGCTTGACAGATGTAGTCATCTTCTACTCACCTAAATTACTAGAAATTGAAGTTAAATTTTCCAGATTCTCAAAGATAAATAATTGGATATTGTGGATGCATACAAATCCGACGGCGTCATCGGCTCGATCATTCTTCACGAACGTCATAGTGAACCAGGTAGAAATCATATTGTAAATCGCATATATAGCATCTTGGCATCAATTAAATGTTTGAACTAACGGTGCTGCATTTAAATTTATTCAATAATTGAAGAATCGATTCATTGTCTTTACATAATTATAATGTTGTGTTGAGATACGATGTTCAGAGACCAAGACAGTTTCGGAGGCCTATCCTCATCTCAATTTTAACATAAAATTAGGACACAGGGTAAACTGTTAGTTTTGGTCATCTGGCCAATTCTAATAATTGCATCAATTATAGGTGATGAGCATACTTATATATTTATTCCAGTGTCAAGGAAAAACAGCAAACGCGTTATGACGTTTGGCAATGAAGGTGGTACAGGACAGTAGAGCAGGCGTTTGAAAGAGAAATTAACTGGGTGGAGGAATACCCGGAAAAATTACGCATAAAATAAATATGAGCTATGTCATAGCATTGGATTCTTGGTTGCTGACTTAGGGTTACGTTTAACATACATCTAAATTTTATTAGCATAGGATTCTTGGTTGCTGACATAGGGTTTCTAGCGATGAGGATTGATTTCGCGTTTTCGAATAATCAAGCAGATCATTATAGTAAAATTCAAAATAGTACTTAATATTCCATATTAATATGTATTTACTTATTAAATACTTGTTAGCCGCTATTAACAATGGTTGTTATTAGCGTTGCCCGAATCACGCCACGCGGAGGCCAAGTATCATGTGATTCACTCATTTATACCATCCACCCCCCTATGCCCTCCCATCATGTAATAGTAACAATCATTGGGTAATCTAGATAGGGTGGTTCAGCCCCCAGGCCGTCAAGAGACGACGACAGGGCGGTTAGTCTCGGTACGCCAAGATCAAGCTCATATGCTACGGAACTTAATCCCTTGGGTGGCCTCAGAACT